AAAGAGAGAGATACTTTGAGAATTTACCTGTTTACTCGATTTCAAAACGTTTTTTCCGACATTAATAATCTTGGATTCAAAGTTTTCGACATTATATTTGGGCTTGGGCCCAATTTGCAAAATTTGAACTCGAATTAAAACTATTCACTATTTATGGCCCATACCGTCAAAAATTCAAATTTTGATTTTAAAAAAATTCAAAGGTTTCGAAAATAAAAATTCGGGGTGTTTCGGTATTAAATATTTCATATGAAATAGACAATTATAGAAGCTGCAATGGGCAAGTTAGAAGGTAGTTAAAAAATCAAAAGGGACAAGAAACAGCATAATATGTAAGTTAGAAGCTACAAAAAAATATTACTAGGGTCGATGTATTACTGCAAGCCAAACAAAAATCCAGAAAAACAATTGAGTAAAATTTATTCTGCAATTCCCATGAGTAAGGTTAACATCAGCTACTTGAATCCATGAACATCAATGTGCAATTCATATTTTGCGTTTCCAAAGAATTCTAATCCCATTCCATTCCCATTCCATTCCCAATTACAATAATTGCTTAACAATGGGTAGAAAAAAAAAAAAAAAAAAAAAAAAAAAAAAAAAACCTGAAACCAATGCTTTACCCCACCCCCAATGTGACACCAGCCGCCCCGCCCCACCTCGCTTCCTCCTTATTTTCTATACACATCGCTTCTTCTAAACATGGGAGTTTTTCTGAGTGTCAAGTAATGATATTTTAGGGGTTCAACAAAAAAAAAAAAAAAAAAAAAAAACCTGAAACCAATGCTTTACCCACCCCAATGTGACACCAGCCGCCCCGCCCCACCTCGTTCCTCCTATTTCTATACAATGCTTCTTCTAACATGGATTTTTCTGATGTAGTAATGATATTTTAGGGGTCACTTAACGGGTGACTTAAGAGAGACCTGTCACCTTCTACTTCTTACTCTACTTATAACAAAGAGTGAAAAAAAAAAAAAGCTAAAAAGCAACATAAAAATTTCATGCTGCTTGTTCATCAAGGAGACTATGGTCAGAATTACTAATCTCAATGTGCTGAAGACGACACATTATTTGTCAGTTCGGCTATCTGATTCTCTTGCTGTTTTTTCAGATAACTCTGAGCAGTTGCAGTTACAATCTTGAAAAAAAAGTTCAGGAGCATAAGCCACACAATGGTGTTCCATAAAGCAGCAAATGAGAAATCCCATTTTTTCATCTGGAAAAACCAGACAATAAACCAAAAGGCGCAAAGTCAAATCAGATTAGTAATACAGGTAACTTATTGTGTATATCCATACAGCATATGTTTGAAACTAAATTGAGCATTCTATGGTTGATTCACCCAAGGACATAGTATACAGTTAGATGAAGTTAATAAAGTACCTTGTTATTAGAGGGTAGAGGTGGCACAGGTGCCATATATTTTTCTTTAATTGCATGGAGTTTGGCTACGAGATCAGGCAGGATAGAAGCCAAACCAGGTACGAGACTGAGTATCATGATCAACTCATTCTCAATCCAGTTAAGGAGCTGATTATTGCAGACAGAGATAATGAAAACCGTCTGCAGAAATCAATCAAACAAAGAATTAACCAGAGAGCATCTGAAACATTTCATCGAGGAAACAAAAAATTTCACTCTTTATTTCCCTCCTACCTCAATTATCTAAAGCACTATGGTTACAAGGAGAAATTTAAAGCAATGTACAAGCAGCAAACTACAGAACTACAGCTTCCATCTAGAAGCACAAAAAACTCATCTTAAAATATTAACTGCTCCAACATACACATATACTTTTGAGCATTAAATCCTCCATAGCACAAACCTGTATATGAGTCTTGACAAGTGCCTTTCCAATCAATGTTGCGAGAAAAAACTTCCAAAATGAAATCCCAAATTGTCCACACATAATTCCAGCAAGGTCGAATAGAGGATTTGGCACCTAAAATATTAGAGTTTATCAGCATCACGTGTTAGTAAACTATGTAAAAACACATCATAACTTGAGGTCCATTTTTATGCAACAAATCGTGTTTTGAGGACGAATATAGAGTAAAATAAATGATAAGTAGGTCTGGTGTTCTGCTGTTAATAACTGGGGATTTTCATATATAAATAGTAGGGGTTTATTTGAGAGAACTTGCTAGTCTGAATAAAAATTTCAAGTGAAAGCAGGAAGACATGCAAAATTTCCATCAGCAATCGATGTGAACTTTAAACAATCTCATCTTTTTACAAAAGAAGTATATCAGAACAATTCTAGGTGTCGGTTCTGAAATACTGAAAGCAATTTTATTGAAATTTACCGATGTGAAAGCTTCTGAAGGTCATAAAGCTGCTTTATGGCAAGAAAACTTTATCGAAGGAGAGTAAGAGCTTCGAAAGCAGGTATAGGTAAGTCATCGCTCAAAGGAAAAAAATTGTCATACATCCATTTATATGGACTACTAGAAAAAGTAGATAGCAAGACAAACTAACCGAGGCAAGTAACAGAATTGTGAGGAAGTTCAGATGTTGAGCATGTGATAGAAGCCAACGTTTAATTGTATTAAGGTGAGTAGCTATTATTCCATTATCTTCAGATGAGGAAGCATTAAATTCTTCCATGGCTTCTAATTTGTTGCCCGATATGCTTGCTGCATGAAATAAACAGTTGATTAAAATAAAATCCACAGTAAAAACATTTCATCTTATATAAATTACAAGGACAAATACAGTAATTAATTCACTGAGATAAAAAGAAGTACCAATTGTTATTCACTAATATTTAAACACCTATCTATGTTTCTTGTGTCAGTTTCCACCACTGCCTTTGACATTTGACCACAAGCAGCAAAGGAAGAAAATGTAATTATAATGATATGAGAATATTCATTCTTAAACTAGACATCATACAATAACCAAGGTCAGCCTTCCTATATTTTATTGCTTCAGGAACATATGGGATGTGGGTAACTATAACTCTTGATCTGTAACAACCCCCCACCCCAAAAAAAAAAAAAAAGGTTAGGACATGAGCGGGACCAGGACAGGAGCATTTAAATAGCAATCCATTCTCCACTTCCTATTGTTGGCAAGCCTTACTTTATATGTGTGTTTACTGCTATAGCAGACATGTTGCAAGATCATTTGGTATATTTATGGAGATGCTATGCTCAATACTAAGCAGTGTTATCCAGCAATTTGAGATTTTAGAGCACATCAAGATATTTGGTCATTTGGACATCAGGAATATTAAAATTAGCATTCTTAAATGAAGACCAAATCACCAATCTTTGCCACACAAATCTCATTTCAGATTCTGAACAATTGTATTTTCTTCCCACCAAGTGATTCAAAGAAGCAGACTCCCAAAGTCACTAAATTTCTGAACAAGAATGTTTTCCCTCTTCTCTTTCCAAATACCAGAGCAATCCACAATCTGAGTAGCCTAGCTATGAAGTAACTTGGCATGCACAGAAATAGGATACATAAAGAAGGTGCCATCTAACCTCATCATCTTTAGGAGAACAGCATTCGGCACAATAACCTATAAAATACTAGTTCTCAGATCATTAAAAAAAAAAAAGGGACTCTTGCAGGGGTTGGCGCTTTCAGAAGTCAAGAAGGTTTCAGAAACCAATTCGTGCAATATAATGCAACCTTAGAGTGTTCTTATTCCTATGAAGTTTATATTGACCCTTTTGAGTAGAGTCTTAACCGCATGATTAGGCAATTACAAGTAAACTACCGAACATGAAATTTAAAGCATACCTGCTCTGGAGATAAAATAAGGAGGAAGCTCCCCAAGTGCAGTCCCCAAACCCCATAGAACAGCCTCTATTTGGACCTGTGGCAATATGCTGCTAAGTGGGACACGCAACCCATGTGATGATGGAAAAACTGGGTCTCCAAATTCACTGCAATCTTTGTCAAGCCATGAAGGACCTCTTTTCAGCTGTATTGTATCATATACAGCACTTTTTAGATCAACTCGGCCACACTGCATTGCTTTTATTGTGAACAGGGCAATATGAGGGCCCAGATAAAGGACAAAAGTGTGCAAACCAGACCCTGAAAATTAATGTGTGTAAGAAAAAGAGAGAGATTAAATTGGGAAAAATAAAGATCTGTATGATTAAATTGAGAAAAAATAAAGATCAGAGAATTTCTTTGATGAATAAACTACATAAATGGGTCTGAAAGTTCAAGCAATACTAAACGGCAGCTGCCACAACTTCAGAAGCACAGTACATAAATGAGAACCATGCAACTTTGAATTCAATAGATCAAAGGAAAAGGAAAACAATGAAACAAGGCATTATAAAGCAGAGTTCTATCATAAATGAATCTCAGTAACACTAATCATGGATGGGGACATAAAGAAACATGGCCATAAAAAAAAATTAACCACCATGCTGCAGATGAAGATATGCTTATCATCCAACTATGAATGCAATGTTTATCTCTCATTCTTACAACTCATATCATGAAGCAAATAAAATACAATAAAAGTACCTCCTTACTTGACATGATACATCAATCCTTTGAAAGAAATTTACTGTTACATTATTGGAGGGTCTTCTAACCCAAATTAATAGCTAAGTCAAAAAAAATCTGTAACACACTAATTTCTGCTGGAAGCATTTTGATACTGAGCATGCCAGAGCTTTATAGAAGAACTTCCTAGTCCAAAAATACTAAAGACATTCAACTAAAGCTGCCTCCAAAGTTAAATCATTTACATTGCCAGGGTTAATTCTCCTACATACTGCTCTTGATATATCCAAATAAATTGCTTACCAAGACCAATTGAAGATGCAACTCCAAGAGCAATCCACCATAATCCAAACCGAATATAATGAGAAAATTCCTCGATATGCTGCAAAAACTTGACATGAGGTAATCACTATTCCCAAATCCCAATATCTTGTTAGCAATAAGACGATAGATCATAAGAAGGATTTAATACCAACAAAAGGAAAAAGCTCAACCACAGGGCCTGTCACAAATGCAGTGACAATATTTCATTTTTTTGACTTGTGCTCCCTTTAGTAAGGAGATAATAGTAGTACAAATACACAAGCAAATAAAATCTTACACAGGGCAATGGAAGTAAATTTGCTTTAACAGGAATGTAGAAAAACCTCAGACAATCTGAAAACTATGGTTACCTTTTCATGAGGGCCATCAATGGTGACTAGTAGAATTCCAAGGGCTGCCACCACAGTGCTTATAAGCATTAACCAGCCACCTTTTGCCAAAAGATATAATATTGATTGTTTGCAATATTGAATCATAGCCAGAATGAAAAACTTTAATGTTTTGAATGGTTGTGTTGTTAGTGTCAGATTTTCTAGTTCCTGTTGATGCCTCTCATGAAGATCTGCAAAATATTTGGTAGGTGTTAAATCAAATCTGGATACTTTATGGTGTTTCTTCTTCACCCAAGTCTTGAATTAAAAAAAAAAAAAATTACAATGACCATAAAATTTTCCAATTAACGTAGATAACAACATCATTTCGTCCAAAAAGAATGCATTAGAAAGCATAATGATAATGCTAGTAAATTAAAATTTATCCAGAGCATAAAATCAACCATTCACATCATATGAATGACAGTAAAACAAAAACGTACTCAACCTAATAGATGCTCCTTGTGCAGGCATGGAGAAGTAAGGGACGAATATCTTATACTTTGAATGTTCTACTTTCTACATTTGTCGCCTATATGGCTGTGAAGTGTTCACCAGAATCCCAATTTACCATGATGACGCCTAAACGGTTTAGATTATCCTGTTTAGAGCTACAAGTTCTTCATCCTTTCCATGTTCCTTTTCAGCAATCAAACCTTATAACCAACAAGTTCTTCATCCTTTCCATGTTCCTTTTCGGCAATCAAACCTTATAACCTAGAACAACTAATCTCATGCTTTTTGATAGAATAACAATAATAGTCACTTTGATAGAATAACAATAATAGTCACCCTGTAGTTGCAATATACAACTATAGCAAGTGACAGTTGGTTATTAGCTAAACTACCAAATGGCAATTTGAAGTGCCTAAATCCTCAAAATATTAACTTCACTGGAAAACCACCTCTTAGAAACAGAAAAATCAAACTGTATTACAAATGTTGCAACACCCCCATTGAACAAATTCCAAGTTTTAGTCGGCATAAATTTATTTCCTTGACGAAGAACTGCGACTTCGGAGTTATTTCCCCTTTTCTTCGTATAATCTCTTTTTTTTTTTTTTTTTTTTTTCTTCACTGGAAAACCACCTCCTTAAAACAGAAAAATCAACAACTGTATTACAACATGTTGCAACACCCCCATTGAAGCAAATTCCAAAGTTTTAGTCGCCAATAATTTATCTTCCTTGACGAAGAACTGCGACTTCGGAGTTATTTCCCTTTTTTTCGTACTAATCCTCTTTTTTTTTTTTTTTTTTTTTTGGGCCGTTCGCAATAAATTCTTTTTTTTTTTTTTTTTTTTGGGCCGTTCGCAAATAAATGTCTACGACTACGAAAAACCTAAAACCATTAAAAATCCAGTGTTCTAAAATACCCACAAGCAAACTCGAGTTAATAGCAAAATTTACAATAGAATTCACTAAAAGCTAAAAAATCCGTTCAATTTAGACCAACCCATGTTAACAAAAAGCTCAAAGATGAATGCTCGAGCTGCTAAAAAAATTTGCTTTTTTTTTTTTTTAATCAAACCATAGATCGGATTAAGAGAGTTAAAGAACACATGGATCGAGTTCTAAGATACAGAATCCATAACAACAAGTCGAGCAAAAATCGAATTTCAAAAATAAGGCCGTGGTATCACGATTCATCTTTAAAAAACAAAACTTGGATACACAAGCACAAAATTAACAACGACAAGAGTATGAAACCATATTATACTAAATAAGGAAAATTTATTTTTGAAATTGAAGGACTTACCTGAGATTGATATGTCCATGTTTTGAGAAGATGAGGTCGCTCCTTTGCCGGACCCCATGACCATCAGATAATACAACAAAAAATCTCTATCCTTTTCTGCTTTTTCTGTAAATTATCCAACACAGATACTAAATGGGTATGTTGTGGGACAGATTTCGGTCTGAAAAAGAAAAACAAAAAACAGGAGGCAGGAATGAATTAATTTGTGGGATTTGCAACGAACATTTCTGTGCTGTGTGTTAATTTTGATGGTTTTGAAACAAATTGGAGATCCAAATATCAGAAGAAGGTCCGAAAATTCAGAGAAAGAAAGTGAGGTATAGGAGCTTTGCCGCGGAGATCTCGCAGCAGAGCTTTTATCGCTCTTCCTCTGTGAGATAAGACTTAGGAGTCGTCCATCGTCGCAACGCGTAATATTTCTACCCTGGTTATGGTAAGTAACCCTGCTTTTACTCGCAGAAAATACCGAGGGGTAAAATTTTATTTAAAATTTATACTCACTGATGGAGGATAAGGACATCCTGTTTAAACAAAAGATTTAATTCTCGAATTACTTCAATACCCCCAATTTAACCAATATTTAATTTTTTTTAGAATAAATATTTAAGTTTTTTAATTTTTCTTCTTGGAAATCATTAATTATTTTAGGTGACAATTGGAGTTGCTACTGTTATCAGGATTTCCAAATATTAAAAAAAAATACTAATAATTAATTTTTGTGGCACATGAATTATAAGAAATTAATTAACTCATTAAATTGATGAGAAAAATTAAATACGAGACACTAAAATAAAACAATAATCTCTAATTAATATGCTAATTATTTACTTTTTTATAGTAATTTTTGAACTTATTAGATAACTTTTAATATTGATTTATTTGATATATAAACTCGTCGATAGCTAAAAAATCTATTTTTTTAATATATTTTCCAATAGAGAATTTCAATTTATAGTTAAATTTAAATTTTTTATATGCCAACATTACCATATACTTTTATTATTCATTTATTAATGAAATGCTTTATAAAAAAATACAAACAAAATAAAGGTTTACAAAATAACGACAGCTGTCTCGTGTTTATTAGTTTACTTGTCATTCTTATAAGCTAATTAATACTTTTTTTTTTTTTTTTATCATTGTCATTTGATAGAAACACAGATGGTTGAGTACGAAAATGTATTTACGAGTTACTTAAGCAAAGTCATGCCTTCCTTGTAAAGCAAATGACAAATATTTCTTTTTGGCAAACCATCTATATGTATATATATTTTAATTTAAATGATACGTGTTCATCAAATGATCATCCATGAATGATGTGATAGGAATATCCTTGTTTTTTTTTTTTTTTTATTATGCTAATAATAATCCATTTATACCATTGGAATATCCTAATATAAAATATAGTTATAGAAATAAGTTAGCTGCTTGCTTTCTTGTTTGTTTGTCAATAAAGTTATGGGACTTGAAGCTTTCAAGAATTTTATCAATTTGCTAATTTCCGTAAAATGGCAATATTTAATCAAATAACAAACTTGCTTACCTTAATAAGGTATGCACAATCTATCGGTGTCAAATATTATTATTATCTATAATAAATTAATAATAATATCTTGAACAAAAAAGAATTAGAATACTGAGTGCAAGAAAATTTATGATAAATGTAAAATTATGATCTATTTAAATTTACTAATTTTTATAGTTTATAACCCTAATTTTCCTCTAAAAAATTCAAAAAATAATAAAATTTCGAAAATTTTATTATTTTTTTTGATTTTAGAGGAAAATTAGGTTAAAACTAATCATTAGTAATAAAATTTAGTTAAATTTAAATAGATCATATATATTCATTATCATAAATTTTCATGAAATTAATATTCAAATTATTATATTTGTGATAAATAAAAAATCCCTTAAATATGATATGCCAAATAGAAAAAAAATCCATAAAAATTTGCATACTAGCATTTGAGTAATTAATATATTAGCAAGGGTATCAACATCTAGTTTATTATAAGTAAAAATTAGTAAATTTAAATAGATCATAAATTTACATTTATCATAAATTTTCATGGAAATTAATGATTCAAATATTTATATTTGTGATAAATAAGAAATCCCTAAAATGATTATGCCAAATAGAAAAATCAATAGAATTTGCATAACTAGCTATTTTGAGTAATTAATTATTTTAGCAAGTTCAACATCTAGTTTATTATAAGGTTAACCAACTCTATTCTACTTTTTTTGGCTATTACAATTGGTGTTCTAACAAATTTTCAACAATAAATTGCTTATATTTATTTATTTATTAGCTAATATACATTTTGGTAATTTTAACGTACAACGTCCCTTAATTGTGGGTAGACCGACCCCAATTCCAATTCTACATACAAGTCAACGAGCGTGTGCAAGTCAAGCAAGGGATAAAGTAAGGCTTTGGTCAACAACAAAAGGGTCAAAAGCAAGGATTTTCTAATCTAAGGTACAATTAAGAACAAATCCATTCGATCTCATTTGCTTGAATCAAGATCGTCCATTTAGATGCTAATCACCACAATATTATTCAAAGGGATTTTATTTAAAAATAATAATATTCTTTCCGTCCACAGTCCACTATAATTAACATAATGTTGATTTTTATTTCATTACAATCACTCTCAGATATTACATTTACTATTTTTTATAATATATACATTAATAATTAATTTCGATGATTAGAGCATTATATAATATTAAATTAATGAAAAACAAGAATCATTAAACTAAATATATATCATTAACAGAAGTGGGCAACTAAATAAACTGAATTATGTCTTAATGGGGTGCACGTGGCGTGCATCATAAGTCACGGGAACACAGCATTTTTGTTTGGTTTTTTTAAGGGCTAAAATATTAAAGAAAGGGAGACTGTTTCTTATCTCGCTTCAGTTAGATTAATCTTTAAGCAAGTTCATTAACTATTATTATTAACTTTGAAAAATCTTGTGTTGCCCAAATTTCAATGTCTGTTTGATGCGTATTTCGTGGGGCGTTGGGACCAAAGAGACAGAACAGAAATGCCTTTTGCTTATTACAAAAGGATAGTTACGAAAACCATATCCTAACTGCAAAATAACTACAGAAACAACAATTTTATTAATTAAAACCAAGAGTCTTGCCATTTATAAAAAGAGACATCTTGTTTTATAGATGGTCTTCATTAAAACTTTTTTCGACTGTGTCTACGTATATATATTTAGGCCTCATGAAAGAAAAATAGAGAAAGTACTTTTTATGAGTATTCAAAACCATGTATATCTTTTTTTTTTTTTTCTTAAAAGGTTTATTTATTTCTTATTAAATCATTTATCATAAATTTTAAATTCTCCTATTCTTGCACAATCAAAATATGTTGTCAATGAAATTTGAAAAAAAAAAATATAATTAACACAGAAAAAAAGTTTTCTATTGATTTCTTGCATTAAAGGAAAAATATTAATTAATAATAATATGAAAAAGAAAAACAACATCTCTTAACGCCGTGGCATGTCCTCTCAAACTTGATCACGGGTTTGGAATTAGAACCTTTTCTGGAGGCCCATTTCAAAATTTTGGACGTATGATCCCTGCCCACAAAACTATGGGTCTAATGGGCTTGAAACATGGAACCATAAATTATTACAAATTTTCTTCAGTTAGGGGCTTGATGATGGGCCCATAGTAGGTCGACAACATGTAAGAGACGTACGCTAGTTGAAAGTCCTTTAATGAATATTGGTACACATATTTAAAATTCAAACACGTCCCATTTCAACATTTAAGACATATATGGAACTGTCTGTTGAAGACGACCTTTACTTTAATTAATGGGCTCCATAATTTGGTTTACACAACAACTTTTCTTTTCTTGTCGTTCTTTCTTTTTTTTTTTTTTTAAAAACTGTGACCATTAGTTATTACTCTTGGCACCCAAGCCATGCGCACAGAAATTATCTTAGCAGGGTCTTCTATTCTGTCCTATTCTTTCACTATCACAATCAAAAACGTAGAGATTTGTTCCAAAGAAAAAGATAAACACGGAGAGAAAAAAAATCTCCTCTGCGGCACTTTCGCTTTACATTCATTCATTCATGGAATGCGGTATCCAGGTTGTATACATGAACCAATATGATTATCTGGCATTGGACGACCATGATTTATTGTAAATTGAACATAGATTAATTAGGTATTCATGTATAATTAAGAGCAACTTGTATATATAATAGCCAATGAAACTTTGATTTAATGGCGAAAAGTGGAGGCAGCTAGGAATAGAAGATTAGTTTATGCCTCGTTTGTATTTATCCCGTCTTTACAAATAATATAAAATTACAACCAATAACCAAAAGTATTTAATATCTATTGTGGTAATACAATTAGGCTCCTAATTCTGCATGTGTGTACCAATATAATCAATGGACGCAAATAAAAATTCATACCCTTTAGCTTTATTATCTTTATATCCGCTAATGAATATTACAACCAAGCTGCTTTAAGGAAAGAATAAATCTTGAAAAAAAAAAAAAAAAATTTTCCTCCTTCACTGGTGTTCTTTTTCTTTGGCTCTTTGCAGAAGAGAAGAATTAGTGAAAAGAGAAGATGGGGGCTGTGCAGTCCTTTATATCTTTTTGGCGTGGGAGCCATATGAAACTTCTCATTTAGAGACAGTCTACTTTTCTAAAACATCCTTATTTTATTTCTGTTTGCTTTTGTTTTATGTTTTATACTTGTTCTCCTATATATACCTTTCATGGCCAACAAGGAAAGTAGAATATCATTACCCCATTATGTAATTGTTAATTGTCGATGTTAAAGCAAAAGATTTTCTATTTGGAATATTTTTTAATCTATATTATAATTAAATACTTCTCCTCTCTTTAATTTATTACTATTATTATTCTGCGTTAGTTCGATGTTGTTGTTGAAAATTATACATTTTGGATAAAAATTTAGAAAGAATTCTTTAGAAGCTAATTAGCAGTACTAATCTTTAATTTAAGGCGTTTAATGTTTCAAAGACTCAAAGAACACGAAATGTATTGCTTCCATTAAGATTACGTGATAAGATGCATATGTTTATTTCAGTAGTTGGAAATTGTCAAGACTGGATTGAGAGGTTCAGCTTACTTCTAACTATTATTGAGTTTTTTTTCTTAATTAATAAAAATTTTGTGCTCTTACTCATCAAAATTAGAAAAAAATTTTATAATTTTGAAAATTCGAAGTAAGAGATATTTGATTTTCACTGCCACTGAGTACGAGCAAAAACCAAATGGCACGTAACTGTTATGTTGATAAGAAAAGGTAAATAATTTGATGTAGCAGCAGAAAATAAGTGAAATGTAAAAAGAAAGGAAGAGACAAGCTGTTGGTTGCGACCTTTAACTTTTTTAGTTGTCACGTGGGAGTTGGAAGCTAATGGTCAAGAACTATATTAGTAGCTGTGAAAACTGAAAACTGGTAGTAGTACTTTTTGTGGTTATCTTCTTACATTACAAACAAAGAAAATTTGACCAAAATTCATTTTATCGTTAGGTGAGAAAAAATGTCTTTTCCGCTTTATTAGATTCATAAAATCCAAATTCTAAATCAATAGCTCGTGACTCTATCAAATAGTACTGTTTTCTAAATAATACCAACTAAAATTATATTCATCAACGTTAATCGTGTAAGTCCCAGACATGAAGCTTTCTCTATTCTAATATATATATATATATAATGAATATTTATATATTTTTATTTTATTAATTAGAGTCTGATTTTTCAGGATTGACGAAAGTTTACAATATGCAGTGTGTTACTCTGCCCAGGCTAGTTAATTCTGGGTAGTTTTATTTCTGGGTGCGAACCCTCCTTTGTATGAAAAAAACTTTACAATATAAATTTTTTTTATTATTTTATTCAAGGAGGCCAAAATAGGTCAAAATTTAGATTTTATTTTTTTAATTTAATGGTGGATCATACTTGATTAGGGAAAAAATACAAACTATTTAATTATTTTTAGAAAAAAATTACCGCTTGTTATCGAAAATTCAGTAATTCTACGTTTAAATAATCATTTAATAAATTCAATAAGATCAAATAAATAAATACTAGTGAGAAAAATAATAGGAGACACATAAACCTTAAAAGAATTGCTATCAAACTCATAGTAATTAATACCCAATTAATTACACCGAAAGTAAATGTCTTATTCTCTCATAATTTCTTTTTCTCTCCAGTCTTATATCTTTCTTACAATAAATAGGGGCAAAGCTAGACTCCAAAACTAGAGGTGGATGGCGGCTCCCCCAGTCCCCCCCTACTCGCCACTCACAATAGAATGAGCCATATTTGTACACTACCAAAACAAAGTAAACAATTTTGTCGACTTTGCACCCAAGCAAAGTAAATCAAGCTTTGCCTCCAAGACGAAGCTTCCCAAAGTACAAATAGCAATTATTCTCTCCGTCTCGTTTTATTTATATAATTTGATAAAATATATATATTAAAAATTTAGTCAATAAAAATTATTTTACTCTTTTTCATTCCTAAATCATTAAGATATTAATAAAAATATTTCATTTAATGAACAATCATAAAGATTATTATGAGAAAAGTAATTGTTTAAATATATAAGTTTATAAACTTTGCAAATATTTTGTGACATCTAAAAAAGAATAACAAGCAAAAAAATGAAACGAAGGAAATATTAATAAAGAAAATAATAATTGTACCCTCTGTTTTGTAAAAAAAAAAAAAAATACTTTACTATTATTCTTTTAAAAATAGATTGTTTTCCTCTTATTTTGAACCCATTACTGTAAATTATACTCTGTCTAATATTTGCTTGTGGAGAGAGATTTTTTTTTTTTCTTCAAACTACCCTCTCTCTTTCCCTTTCAAAACACTTCATTGTCAAAAACCAAATCTTATCCATGGAAGAAACACAAGTAGGCTAGCTAATATCCATGAAAGAAGAACCTTTTATATATCATTCGGCTGGGTTTTCAATTAAATCAATATCAATTATTTATATATTTCTACCTGAGGAGCTACAAAAGGCAAGGTTTAACAAGTCGCTTTTCGTTTATTCAAAGCCCAAGCAAGATAAAAAGTCTAGAAGAGCTAATTAAAATAGGTAGAATCGAGAGAAAGAGAAGCTGCGGATGGTGGAGAAGAAGAGAAGAGGGAATGTTTTGCTTTTATATTTTAACCAGGGTCATTAATATCATTTCACGGTTAAAATCGGAAAAAATGGTGAGAATGTGGACATAACGTAACAGACTAAAAATAGAAAAATAGAAATATAGAGATAGGATTATAATTTGAAGAGAGCAAACTATCCCGTCCACAGTATGTATTGACCTCACGTGATATAATTTGACTATGATGCGCTCTATGTGGTACAGCAGTTGTTACTGAACAAAGCTGGTCAAGGAAATCATCGGAATTCGGAAATAACAAAAGTGGGAGACATTACAACAGATTTAATTTCTGAATTATAAGACTCGACCAACAAGTGTCAACATACGGATCGTACATTCCTTTCTTTTTACGTATTTCTATGTATAATTCTATTTATTTTATTTAGGTCAAGATTTAGTCATAGGGTTGACATGGAAGAATCTGGTTCCTTCGTTACCAAATGCACCATAGTAAGGACCCAAAGTCGTTTATTAGGACCCCACACTTAGTTTGCTATTGCCTTGCCCACCGCTACCATTGGATTGGAGACTGGACTGGAGAGCCAAGCCCAAGAGTCTGCGCATTGCAAGTCAATAGATCAACAAAATATTACTGCCTTAAACACGCGACACTCAAGGTAACTTCCTCAATTATTAGCTTTAAATATCATCTTTCCTTCCATTTTTCAACATCAGTTCCTCTCTTCAAGAACCTTTCTTCTGTTTCTCTTTTTGACGTCCTCCTTTTTTTTTTTTTGGGTTGGGTATTGTTCTGCACTGTTGCTGCAGAAAGTAATGGAAGGGTGCTGCTGTCAGACTAAGACTAAAGCCAAAGGCATGGCGGAAGAAAGATTCAAAATCAAAGGGAAAGTAGTGTTGATGAAGAAGAACGTTTTGGACTTCAATGATGTTACAGCTTCATGTTTTGATCGGATTCATGAGTTGTTTGGCAAAGGTGTCTCTATCCAACTTATCAGTGCCGTCAATCCAGACCCAGGTTATAGATTCTTCTCCTTCTTCTTCTTCTCTTTTCATTGTCTTTTCTGGTTAAGATTTTTGCATGCAATGAAAGAGCCAAAAATATGTATACGGACAAGGAGAATGGTGCGAAGGTTCTTGAATGAAGACAAACGTCTTCTGTTTTATGTAACAGGAAGTACCTCTACTAATAAGCAGAAGAGGCATTAGAAAGAGATATATATATATATATTTTTATGAAATTTTCAATGCTCAAATAGCTTTGGAGTTTGGACATTGTAGTTTAATAACGACAATGAACTTTCTCAAAGCTAAAATTATTAAACTTGGTGACGGTTTTTTGGTTCAGAGAATGATCTGCGAGGGAAGCATGGAAAGGTAGCATTCTTGGAGAGCTGGGTAAAAAAAATAACACCGATGGCAGCTCAAGAGACAGAATTCAATATTACTTTTGACTGGGATGAAAGCATGGCTGTTCCAGGAGCTTTCATAATTAGAAATCACCATCATAGCCAGCTATACCTCAAGACAGTCACATTAGAAGATGTTCCTGGACATGGTAGGGTACATTTTGTCTGCAATTCATGGGTCTACCCAGCTCATCGTTACAAGTATGATCGAGTATTCTTCTCGAACAAGGTAATAATACATTTTGGTATTGTATCTTCAATATTCCCACTAGTTTGTAGTCGGTATTTTTGTCGTGATTGTTACTCGAAACCTGATTACTGAAGGAGTTTTATTCTCTTTCTCAATTCTATGGCAAAAGTCACAATCTTCATGTATTATTCCTACAGGAATGGAAATTTCCCAGATTGTCATTTCCTTAAAAGATAGGAGCTGCATGTTTTTTCTGATATTGGTGTTTTTCTGTCATAATGTCAGCGTCCATTGCTTTAGTTAAGTGTTACTTAGGATGCGATCAGGACTAAAAGGTGGATTCACTAACAATTTTGCTATATTTATACTAGACCTACCTTCCATGCCAGACGCCTGAGTCCTTACGCAAATATAGAGAAGAAGAACTTATAAATCTGCGAGGAAATGGAAAAGGTGAGCTAAAGGAGTGGGATAGAGTGTATGACTATGCTTACTACAATGATTTGGGAAGTCCAGACAAGGGAAAAGAATATGCTCGCCCTGTTCTTGGTGGACCAGGAAAGTATCCATATCCTCGAAGAGGAAGAACTGGTCGGAAACCAACAAAAACAGGTAAAACCAAATCTAGATCATTTTAGATCCATACAAAGCTGTAATAGCAGGTGTTGACCTGGATTTCTACTCTGTTGCATACAGAATATGAATAAGAATTATTGATGACTGCATGACATTCTATTTGTGTTAGATGTGTTGATTCTAATAAAAAATGTTATTTATCACTGCACAGACCCTGATTCTGAGAGCAGATTGCCTCTTCTGAGTCTAGATATCTATGTTCCTAGAGACGAACGGTTTGGTCACCTGAAATTTTCAGATTTTCTTGCCTATGCTCTGAAGTCATTAGTTCAGGTATTACTGCCAGAGGTTAAATCCTTATGTGACAAGACTATAAATGAATTTGATTCCTTTGAAGATGTTCTTAAGCTCTATGAAGGGGGTCTTAAGCTTCCAAATGCGGCTTTAACCAGTAAAATACGGAAGAGCATCCCATGGGAGATGCTCAAAGAACTTGTTCGTAATGATGGTGAGAGATTCCTCAAATTCCCAATGCCTGATGTAATCAAAGGTATAATAGACCCACCTCCTCCCCCACCTTTTTTTTTTTTTTAAATTCGCTTAGAATTCCATATCTGTTTGAAATTTTACTTTCATGGTATATTTCTAGCGGACAAGTCTGCGTGGAGGACAGATGAAGAGTTTGCACGAGAAATGCTCGCCGGAGTCAATCCAGTCATCATCAGTCTTCTCCGAGTAGCCTAACTTCTCTTAAACCTGGTAACTTTTCCGGTTTATGGACTTTTAGCCCTTATATTTACTAAAATCTACCTGCAGGAGTTTCCTCCAACCAGCAAGCTAGACCCTAAAGAATTTGGAAACCAGAACAGTACAATAAGGAAAGAGCACATAGAAGGGAACATGAATGGTCTCACAGTAGATCAAGTACTAAACAAAATTCATTTCTTTGCATCTTTATTCATATTAAAAAACCAATGTCTCAATCTAAAAACAAAGAAGTTGATTACCTAAAAGTGGAATTTTTTTTTTCCTTAGGCAATCAGAATCAACAGGTTGTTTATATTAGATTATCATGATGCATTGATGCCATACCTGACGAAAATAAACTCCACAACCACAAAGACATATGCTACAAGAACGATCCTTTTACTGCAAGATGATGGGACCTTGAAGCCATTGGCAATTGAACTAAGCCTCCCACATCCTCAAGGGGAACGCCATGGAGCAGTCAGCAAAGTTTTCACTCCAGCACAACATGGTGTTGAGGGCTCAATCTGGCAGCTGGCCAAAGCTTATGCTGCTGTAAATGATTCCGGATATCATCAGCTAATTAGCCACTGGTACGATTCATGAATGAGGCAAGTTAGCGGCACAACGTAGAACCTTGTTCTAATTCAAGAATGCATAAACGAAAGCTTCTAACTTCGTTTGCAGGTTGAACACACATGCTGTAATAGAGCCATTCATAATTGCCTCAAACAGACAGTTGAGTGTTCTTCACCCAATATATAAACTTCTGCATCCCCACTTCCGCGATACAATGAACATAAATGCCTTGGCTAGGCAGATTCTCATCAATGCTGGTGGTATCCTTGAGATTACTGTCTTCCCAGCCAGATATGCCATGGAACTATCAGCTGTTGTTTACAAGAACTGGGTTTTCACTGAGCAGGCACTTCCTGCTGATCTGCTCAAGAGGTAAATCATAGAAACTTGAACTTTAAAAACGCTCTCGTGTCCAAATTTTGAATCTTTAGCAAAACAAACTTTACCCGAATTTTGCAAAATTTCAGAGGAGTTGCAGTTCCAGATTCAAGCCAGCGTCACGGTCTCAGGCTTCTAATAGAAGATTATCCTTATGCAGTTGATGGTTTAGAAATCTGGTCAGCAATTGAAACTTGGGTTGAGGAGTATTGTGATTTCTACTACCCAACAAATGACTTGGTTCGTAACGATAGTGAACTTCAGTCGTGGTGGACAGAGATCCGCAATGTAGGCCATGGTGACAAGAAGGATGAACCATGGTGGCCTGAGATGCAGACACGAGCTGATCTTAAGCAAACATGCACTATAATCATATGGATAGCTTCAGCGCTTCATGCAGCTGTTAACTTTGGGCAATACCCATATGCTGGCTACCTCCCTAACCGTCCGACAGTAAGCCGCCGTTTCATGCCTGAGCCAGGTACCTCCGAGTATGCTGAACTTGAGAAAGACCCAGAATTGGGTTTCCTGAAAACAATCACAGCCCAGCTACAAACCCTCCTTGGCGTATCCCTAATTGAGATTTTATCAAGGCATTCAACTGACGAGGTTTACCTTGGGCAGAGGGATACTCCCGAATGGACTTCAGATCGTGAACCCCTGGCAGCATTCGAGAGATTTGCAAAAAGACTGTCAGTTATTGAAAACAAAATTATGGAAATGAACAATGATGAGAAATGGAAGAACAGAAATGGTCCTGTAAAGGTTCCTTACACCTTGCTCTTTCCTAATACCTCAGATAAATCGAGAGAGGGTGGACTCACTGGCAAGGGAATTCCTAACAGTATCTCTATATAATGTATTGATTTCTTTTATCGCATTAGTAATTAAATTTTGAAACCGTAAGCTGTTAAAAGTAGTCTTTTGAAAATTATGGTAGCCAAGTGATTTTTATTTCAATATTTATTTTGTTCTCTCCTTAATAAAAGGCAAGTATATCTACAGAATTTTAGGTTAATCGGATAGAATGTTAGCCCAGTTAAGGTCAAGTTCACTGGCAAAAGTGTATGATTTGTAAAGGGAGTATAGGTGGATAAATAATGTTTACTTGTGATTGTTCTGTGTAACTTAATTTCTTTTAATTTAGAAGATATAAGTGAAGTAAAACTAGCTGTTTTTTTTTTTTTTTATATCACTTGTCTGCAGCACACTAGGCTAAATCTAACCCCACTCATACCGCATTAAACTAATAAGAAGGAAACACTGTATGCGATGATTTTCTCTGTTCATAATAATCGAACATTCGACTTCTTACTTAAAGGGCACAAGTCATATCCCCGTTAGTTAAATGAAGCATGACTTGGATATTGAACTTGCTGCCATTGAATTAAATCATCCACATGGTCTGTGCCATTTGTATAAATTGATCAAACCTTTTACTTTTTTGTTTAATTGCTTCTATGATCAATATGGAGCTTTATCTCTTTGTTTGTTTGTGCATTCGGACACAGTACTTTCACCATGTAGCCAAACTAGCCATATCCATGGCCCACGTAGCCTAACTAGCTCACTGGTCACAACTTTTGGAGTTGGCTACTGGGGCTTGCTCCGAGGATAATTGGGCTTGGCGCTGTTATCGGGTCCAAGATTGATAGCCAATTTTATTTGTTAAACTAAACTTGACAAAAAAAATATTTAGATTAAAATTTTAGGTGAATTTTTTAATTCATTAGAGGCTTTTATAGGCGCAAATAGTACTGTCATTACACAATAAGAGGTAATTCATTGACTCATTAAATTGATAAAAAAAAACTGTGATTGATAGGGTTCGAACTCGAAATTTTCCATTCATCATATAAATGAGAAGACTAATTAAACCACTGTTTAATTAATAAATTTTATGTGAATTTAATTGATTAATAAAAAAGAATTTTTATAGCAAATCAACAATAAATAATTAAAGTTGTCTTTTCATGACTATTATTTTTAAAATTTCAAATTACTTTAATCTCTTTTATTTTAAGTTTAACCGGTGTCGGTTTCAAAAAATTAATAAATAATTATTTAATTATAGTTAATTAATTATTATAAAAGTATAGTAATTGTTTAAACTTTGAGAGTGAAAGGGACATCAATTTTAATTAATCACTTGTCTCTAATAAACATTAGACGAGAACGATATTATAAAGTAAAATTAAATTAAATAGAAGCACGCGTTAATATCAATCTGCAATCGTAAATTTCAATATACAAAATATTATAATAATCAACAAGTGATATGCTGAGTGATGCGATTGAAGGTAGTCCTTATCGTTAAGAACACCTAACATACAACTAATATATATATATAAAAAAAAAAAAAAAAAAAAAAAAATGATATATATAAAAAAAAAAAAAAAAAAAAAAAACTGTTTTAACGAATAATTAAAAATATGATTTGATGGATCTCTTAGTTATACGGGAATAAAAATTTAATGTTTATTATACTATATTTGAAAATATTCATCTGCACTAAAAAACCAATTAACATATCGAGATTCAAGATTAATTAATATAATAATGAAAGAGAACAGGCATTTAAATGCCACACACAATCACCACACCATCAATACATTACATCATATGCTTTTAATCTTTTTTTGAGTACGACCAACAAGGCAAGCAGCAGTGCCTTGCAAATCGATATTGTGAGTTTGGTGGGACACAAAGCACATAAAATGGACTAAATATTTATAAAATCTGCAATTATTGCTATAGCTATTCTCCATTATATTTGATTTCGTAGCTTTACATTTAATACCAAATTTCGTGACACTTAATTTTTTTATAAAATTTATGTACTTTTAAAGGTATGAATTGAATAACCATTTTTGTATATATCTTCCAAACTTGTAATTATAGTTTAGTGGCATTTAATTTATTTTAATAAAATGTTAATTTTTGTGACGTTTGATTTAAACTTTGGAATAATAATTTAATTAGTTTTTGCCTACATCTAATAATTTTTTAATGGATTTAATTTTATAATATTAAAATATTTAAAATTAATTGATTTTGTTATCGGTGTTAAAAAGGTTTAGTTCAAATAAATTTATACGTTATTTCATTGGTATATATACATGGATTCTTTTTTATTGTGCTGTCAATCTGGGAATATTAAAAATAATAATTAACGAACTTTTTGGTTAAATTTTACCTGTATATATTAAATATATATTATTAATAATGTGAGATAAAGGTATTTAGTTAAAAATTAATGAAATTTTTTTTAATATAATTTGAAAAAAATTTAAATTGTTTTTTTTTATCACTTTATTAAGAATTTTTAAATGACTTGAGTAAAATGTGAAATTAAACCCCCATCGTAATGAATAATTTAAAATGTTGAAAGTTAAATGAAAAACAGTTAAGGCAATTATACAGGAATTGGAAAAGATTACAATTTTTTATTTTATGCGGATTACCATATACAAACGTTCATCATTACATCTCCACTGCGGCGATGCCAACACGGACATTTAGTTTGGTTTGTTGTATGTACATAAAGTGGGCCAATACAATTACCAATCCCTCAATTACAAGATTTTGATTGGAATAATTTGATTAGCTCCGACGGGTGCGGTTGCAAGCATAGAAATCAATTTCACTCCTAGGGGCGGCTTGATTCTTTTAGTTCTTTCGCCACTGTCCTTTCCACTCCCCATATTTTCTGGATGACCTGCTGCAAAGCTTGTTTACGTTCTTCTAATACATAATCTGACACTTCCTGCTCTTCACAGTTTTGTCCAACCAGAACCTGTCTAAGACCCATAGCTTTCCCTGCCGCCACATTTTCTTGCGTTGTCGTTCGAGAAGATAATGCTCATAGGAAAACGACAATTGCGTTTTAATTACCGGTTTTGGGGAAAATTAATCAGAGAACGAAAGTTATCTGTTTTTTGGCAGCTTACCGTGCGTGCGTGGATCAAACGTTGGCAACTTGAGAGCAATCTTCAATGGCGTCCATTGAGGTTGAGGAAAAACAGGGGAATTCATCAGGCCGTGTCATTTGGAGAGATTTGGATTCATTGTTCAAGGCATATGATTGATTCGAAGCAGTCTCTAACCTTAATCTTTTTAGGACCTTAATCGCGTTGAAACTCTGATATCTTGATTGGTTGAAATATCTGGAGAACAAGAATGAGCGGTCAAACTTAAGCAAAGAAAATTGAAAATTCAAAGAATTGTTTGATTTCCTGAAAAACTCACCGATTTTTCTCTGGGTGATGCTTCGCAGGAGTTACGTAATTGTCCGTTTGGCTTTATTAAATCATAAGGCCAATCTTCCGTGCACGACACTGGAAATTCGAAGCAGAAAACAAAAAATTAGGTGGCTTAAATTTAATATTTTAGAAATCAAGTTGCCAATATTAAAAATCAAAGATTTCAGTATTTCCTAATTTACCTGTGATTTAAATCATCAGCATCGATATCATTTACCCCAAAGCCTGGAAGTTATAAAATTATTTTTTGGAGAGAAAAAGAATCAGAAAAAATAAAATCATGGCAAAGAAATGAATTCATTTATCGCTTCTAAGGATTATTTACCCTCAAACCGGGCTAGAGAGCTTTCCATAAGTTTAAAGAAGCTCAACTCGGAGAGTTGAAGCTTGGTTTCTCTTGAAAATCCACATTTCTTATCAACAGAAAATCTTAGAACAAAATGAGAGAGAAAACAAATCAGCTATTGTTTCGTTCTCTTAATTATATAAAAAAATAATTAAGACCTTGCAGAACATTCTGAGTACCATCGATGTTCTCCCTTAAGCTTTCTTGCTTTATTCCAGCTTCGAAGAATTACAGAGTGTCATCCAAATCTGCCTTCAAATTTAAAGAAATCAATTTAAAACAAATTGCGATAATAAGCCTTTCTTTCTTTTAAAATTTCGATGATCTGTAGTCTGTAGTATAAGAGAGAGAGAAGCAGTACCGAAGATGAGGCAATTCAATAGGAGAGCCGGTTTTGCCGTAACAATCCATAGACGAAGACGAAGCGAAGACGAAAGAGATAAAACGAATTAATTTTTGTTAAAAAAAACACTTGCGAGAAGGAAAGAAGTAGTTTTTACTTTGTGTTATTTTGGAAGTTCAGGCAGGCAGAGGATTGCAGATGGCAATGTTAAACTTAATTTTATAAGAGACGGAGGACACGACGCCCACGAAGATGATGCTGAGTCAGAGTTCAAATCTCTTACACAAATAACGAGTAGTTAAACCGGGTAGATAAAGGGCCACGCGCGTGTACTAGGCTAAGGCCCTTCAAAGAAAAGTTAAAACCTTTAAATGGACGATACTTGTCCTCTAATCTCTTGCAGATTGGAATATATAATGGTGGCATCCAGGCCAATCAGGATTACAGCTTTGGATAAAACAACTGCGACGAAAAACTAAAAAACTTATTTTTTCTTTCTTATGTTGGATAATCTTTTTTTTCTTCGTGATGGTTTCAGATACAGATATGCTAATAGCAATACTAAAACTACAAAAACGTACAAGGAAATTATTAGACAAAAAACATAAAAAAAAAACAAAAAGTTTAAAAAACTTATCTGGCACTCTTATCTCTTTCAAAAACAAAATTCTAATTTAAATTTAGTAGAAATTATTAGGTTCTGATTTGTTATTACGCTAATAGAAGTGGGCGTTTCAGTAATTTTGACGGTCGTAGTGTTGCAAGCAGGTGTCAAAGAACCCCATTACTTTTTAAAGTTCGCAGAGATATTTATATTGCATGTGAAATGTGTTGGTAAATTTTACGTATAAAGTTGAAGAACACGATCTTTCGTCCATTCGTCAAAAGCTTTCATTTATTGAAACCTTAACTAACTCATGCTGTGGGTCTTTTTAGCAGAAGGACACCTTGTAATTATTGAAGAGTTATTAATGAATTGGGCCCCAATGGCCCTAAGGGCCCAAGTAGGTTTACAAAATTAACCATTGTTAAAAATGTCTGTCTTGATATTGGCACGGGATGGATGATGGATTGGAGCCACAACAGCGTTGTGATTATAATGGCAATGGGCCAATAAAAATAGCCATAGGTGCTGTGGTGGCGTTGTGGTTACCCACTTTACAGCAGGTGATACGATTTCTTCAATTATCACCACTTATATAACTAATAATAATTTATGTTTTAATATGTGCTTCTAGCACTTGCATGGAACAACAATATTACAAGATGAAAAACTCTTTGTCTGATTCAATGGGTCCTTTTACTTTTTATGTTTGGTTGTTTTCACACTCATACGCAATTAAAACATGTCTACATATTGGAAAAACATTTATTCAATACAAATTACAAAATTATATAAACACAAAAACAAATTTCGTTCATTACTGTTTTATATCATTCATTCAAAAAGTACATAACTACACAAATAAAACACGAACATTGAAAGAGGAAAAACAAAAAAAAAGTCATAATTTTAGAAGATAAATAAACATATTGGAAAAACAATTATATTCCACTTGAATTCTTAATTCACTTTTGTTCTTATAGTAGGGGCTCCTTAATTTGTATTAATTTTCTTAGCATGATTCTGTTTGCAAGCACTTCCATGCCATAAATGAATCCTTGCGCTCCCTCTGTGTATACATGGAGTTTCATTGTCCAGTCTGCAGCCATAATAATACATACATATATTAATTCGTCACACTGCTTAAATTAATTGCTAAATTACTATGTAATTAAGATGAGATCAAAGGGTTATTTACGAGTTTTTCGCGACAAGCTTTGCTCAAGGTAGAGGATGAGAGACATGTTTTCCATCAAGATATCTGTTTTCCCCTTTGATCTTCTGTTTTATTCTGAGGGCTAATTCATCAGCGCTCAGCACCAAATGGGCCTATCTTGAAGCCTGTTTTATAAGTATTTGTTAATAGTACCATAATTAATTCTGCCGTTTATAATTAAGCTAGTTGAGTACAATATTAATTACCATGATCCATCCCAAGTGTCAGCAGTAAAGAAGGAATGTGGGCTGAATTAAGGTACAAACATCTGCATATCGGAAAAATAATAATTAATATTTAGAAAAATTGAAAATTAATCAACTTAATTAAACAAAAATGAAGTTAAAGTTTTTTATACCTTACATTTTGAAGAACCTGCCTTAAGAGTGTTGTATTATTGCAAGAAAAAAACTTCTGTGTGGTGAATATTCCTGCTGGGCCCTGCCTGCAAGTTTACAAAAATATTTTAATAATTCTCTAAAATAAACATGGACACCAAACTACACTGGCTCATCAGGCCCATAATTTTCTTGATTTGGAGCCTATAAGCCCGGAAAATAATATTACAGAAGCAGGGAACCTTGGACAAAAATGCCAGCCTTCTATTGAGTTTGGGTTAACAGTTGAACTCATAGAGGATTTGGTGTAGAGCTTGTAACATGGGCCTCCTTCGATTGGTCAGCCAAGTCTCCAATGATAAGATCATAGCATTCTTTCCTGCTCTGAGCTCAGTTCTGGCATCATTTATGATAATCTCTAGTCTTTTGGTCGCAAAAAAAGCTTCTCTATTCAACAAACCAAATATGCCTTACAGAAGTCAACCACATTCCTTGCCTCCATCAAATTACAAAATTACTTTTGGTAAGTTGAGATTTTTTGATTACTGTTTAGAAGAAAACATTAATGATGATAACAGTCATTTTGGATAATAGTTTTATTGGGGGACAAAAAAAGAAAAAGGAAAGGTCAAAAATAATACAAAAGAAAAAAAAAAAACAGGGAAAGATGTACCTCATCAATATCACACATTGACAACCTTTTCAACAGTCCTGTGTCTGAGTATTTCTCTTGCAGTAGAACCCTTCACCTCCTCCCATAATAAAGATTGCTCTTTTGGACTAAAAATTTAAAAAGATAAATAGAACAAGTAAATTTTTGGAATTTAAAAAAAAAAAAAAAAACACAAAGAACCTTGGTAAATATATATTGGAGAGAAAAGAAATACTTAGAATGAAATGAAGAAGAGCTGGATGAACAGGATTACATGTAGATGAATTCATCCACCTCATGCACTTTGAAGGCCTTTTCCATCAAATGGACTAAGCCTATTGTTGCAGCAAAAAAGAAAAGAAAAAAAAAAAAAAAGCTCAAAAAATAGAAAGGACAGCTATATATTTACATATTTTGGAATATATTAATGAATCAATTTTTGTAAACAATTTTTTTTTTTTTGAGTCATTTACAAACCTTTTCAAATGGTATTTTGTGTCTAAAAGGGCAATTGTCCTGATACTGAGAAGCAACGACTGTGTGCAAAATACTGCAAAATGGAATATATAATTTCCACAATTTGTGTAAAGATAAGTTAAAAAATTAACTTCAGGGTTGAAAATTAATATATTATATATAGTATATACCATTGAGAGCAAAACACCAATCTCAAAGTTTCTTCATCTCTTCTTTCATACCAGCATCTTTTCTAATAATCCATTAGTATGAATGGCATTTACCATTGGTTAATTCATTAGAGGCAAGCAATGTCACCCCATTGTAGTTATTTTCTTATATCTTCTGAATTAATGTTGAAAAACAAAGAGAGAAGAAAACAGAGGAGGAGAAAGCAAGTTCAGAGGATGAGAAGAGATGGGTCTAGGATTTGGAAATATGCAAAGCCACAATATAAATGGAAAGTTGGCCAGAGAAATCGAAAAGTAGCTATAATTTGATTTTTCGTATGGAGAGAAGAGTTGCCAAATCTTATCGAAGTGGAGTTAAGCTAATACCAAAATATCGTCATGGATTTTCGTGGAACGGTACTACGTCTAGTCCTAGACATTGACATTATATAAAAAAAAAAGGTTCAAAGAAAGATTGGGTTTTAATATTGTTTCACCCTTCAATTTCCTTTCTTACTCATTAAATAAACATTTAAATTAAAAAAACATATGAAGTTAATATTTTATATATATATTAAAATTTTAAAAAATATGTTATTTAGTTTAGAAAGTATCTTATTTTTAAGGGTATAATTTTTTTTTTTTTTAAAAGAAAATTTGAAGGCATGCCACAAATTACAAGTAAGGTTGAATCTATATATTTGAAAATAATAGATAAAAAACAAATTACTAATTTGTCGTTGTGTGTCTGATGCTGATTAACCCTCGTGATGATGTCTTAATTGTCTGTTGTCCATATATATGTCTATGTGCATGCAATGGACCTTAGGTAAAAACTTAAACTAAATGCTTATATTTTGGATTCCGTCCATGATATGCCTGTTGGCGGCTGGTTGTGCCCACTCAAGTGTGGACCCACATATTTTTTTTTAGTGGAGTGGGCGGGTGCACAATCACGTGATGAAAAAAAAAAAAAAAAAAAAGGAAAGTCAAGAAGGTTTGGTTGCCAAACATCAAAGTGGCAACCAACCACGAAATAAAGGAAAAGTTAGCTCGTGTTGTCACGACTCTCTCACTCTCTCATTCCCTCTCCTATAAATAGGAGGGTGCCTCTCGTACCAACCAATAAGTGAGGAGAGACATTAAATTATACTTATCGGATCCGTGGATATATTTTGAAAATAAAATACTACGAAGACGAGAAAATTACGGACGAGTCCGGTTGGTGCAGTCCGCTCGGAAAGACGTTTGCAAAATCGACTTACTTGTGCTAAGGCCCGTCACTGTTAAGGCCCAGGCACTATTCATGTATAGTACTATTCACGCATACAGGTACTATTTACGTATTAGTACTATTTACGTGTACAAGTTACTATTCTCGATATTACTATTACTATTCACATATACAGTTACTATTCACTTAAAAGTATGGAAGCCTAGAAACCGAGCCAACAAGATCAGTCTAAATGGCGTAAATTTACCATATTGCGAGAAATAAAATGAGAGATCTCCTTATGGTAACCAAAATGCATTTGCCCATTGTTTGGTTCAAGAAACCGGCGAAGACAAGACTGATGAAGAATGGGCTTATCGAGCGATGAACAGTTTGTGGTTATATTCGACAATTTGTCGATGAATAATGTGTACAAAACCACATCTGTAACGAGACTCACCACCAGAACATTATGGGGACAAGCTTGAACAGTTGTATGCCTCAAAATCCGGGGCAACAACCAGAATTATTTTATATGTTGACAAAGCTGATGATTTCAAATTACAAAGAAGGTACTTCTGTAGCAGATCACTGAGTGGATGCAGAGCGACTATTCACCAGCTGTCAAATTTATGGGCATTTAAAATTTGATTGATTAAAATCCTCGGCCTTATTGGTGCTTGCCTTCCTTATCCAGAGTCTTGGGAGACTCTGAAGATATCAATAACAAACTCTACACCACATACGTGGATGTTAGCTGGGAATTGTTTAAAAATCTGTTCCTGAATGATTGAATGAGACGCAAAGCAAAGAATCCTTTCTTCATCTCAGTCAGACATTCTTTTAGTAATGATTAAAAGAAATAACCAGCCCAGAGGGAGGAGCCAATCTAGAAGTTCAAATACAAGAGATAAGAGCAAGGGCTATAGATCAAATAATTTGCCAATATTGTGTGCCCATCATTGTGGGAAGAAGGGGCACATTAAAAGGTATTGCCGGAAGTTCAAAAGTGATCAGGAGAAGATCAAAGGCAAAGCAAAGAAAGAAGAGGAGCAGTGATGATGAAAGCTAATGTCATGCTGAGTTCCAACTGTTCATTGAAAGACACTATCAATATTGCAACCCAAGAACCAGTTGGGTTAATTGATCGTTGGGGCTACACTTCATGCACATCTCGGAGATGAGAATTTCATCTTACACCACCAGAAAATTTTGGTGTGGTCAAGATAGCAGACGGTTTAAAACTGTTGAAGTCGTCTGGTAAGGGAGACATTGCCTGGAGACAGAAATGGTTCGAGATTAATTTTAAAAGATATCGTGCATGTACCAGAACATGCATTCTAATTTAATCTCAGTTGGCAGACTTGATGATGAAAAATTTCTGTTTAGCACCTTCAGAAATGGGGCAGTGGAAGCTCACAAAAGGTTCCTATGGTGATAGCAAAATGGAAAGAACAGATCCCAAAGCTGTTACGTGATTTGGCATGCGAAGCTTCTCCTGAGATGCTTTTAATGTAACAGAGGATGACAGCTACAGTTGAATTGTGGCATAAACGGTTAGGCCACATGAGTGGAGAAAGGAATTTTGACAACCTCTGCGTAAAAACAACATGCTATCTGATTGGGATGTAAAGTCCATTTAGAAGGAAATGTTTTGATGTATGGCAGTAAGCAGAATTAGAGTAGCCTTCAAAGATTTCTCAGCCCTCCGAATGAAGAATATTGTTAGTATATGGTACATTTCAGATCTATGTGGACCATTGACGATTCATATGGGGAAATCGAACTTTCCGTAACATTTATCGATGACCATTCTAGGAAGACCTGGGTGTACACTTTGAAGTCTAAAGATCAAGTTTTAGATGTTTTTAAACAATTTCTTAAACTTTGGTGAGAGACCAGACAGGCAAAAGAAGCTGAAGTGGCATTCAGAACAGATAATGGTGGAGAATACACTTGGGCATTGATGCTTTCTGCAAAAGCATGGTATTCGACATCAAAGCAACACCTTCCCAAGACACCGCAATTTGAATGGGTTTGGCTGAGAGGAATGAACAGAACTTTGATTGGAGAGAGTCAGATTGTTTTTACTCTCACATGCAAAGTTGCTCTAAAAATTTGGGGCTGAAAGCTTTCTTACAGCAGGTTCATCTTATAAATCGTTCACCTTGTGTTCCTCTTCAGTATTGATACCTCCAGAACGAGTATGGATCGAGGGAAAGGATGTTTCCTATATCACTTGCGCGGTGTTTGGTTGCAAGCATTTGTGCATATTCTTAAGGATGAGAGGTCTAAGCTTGATGTCAAGACTCGACAAAGTGTATTCATTGGGCTTATGGTCAAGATTCCAATTTGGCTATAGATTTTTTGACCAAGTCTCAGAAAAGGATGATAAGAAGTAGGAGATGTGTATTGTTGAAAAATGCAGACTATTGAAGATGTTGAAAAGACTCAGAAGCAAGCTTTGCGATAAAGATTTGAAGAGATTTCAACAGTGTACAAATAGTTTCCTCCAAGCAACAGAACAAAAGACAAAGTTGCGAGATGAAGAAAATGTTCCACAAAGAACAAGATGCCAGAGTTTAGAAAATCCACAAATTCCTCATTCAAGAATGAACCAAGAAGATGATTTGATGGTGGTTTCCTGTTCAGCCACCAGCACCAGAAGGTTCTCAAAAACATTAAGAAGCGTCTAGTAAGTCAGGACACCATCTACTAGATATTCAGCAAAATGGAATATGTATTGATGACTGACGGGGAGAACCTGAAATGTTTTGAAGGAAGCAATGGAAAGTGAACACCAAAAGGAACTGGATTGAAGCATGCAAGAGGAAGATGAAATCCTTGCATGAGTATAAAACATTTGAGCTGGTGAAGTTGCCCAAAGGCAAGAAAGCTTTGAAGAACAAGTGGTGTTTCAGAATCCAAGCAGGAAGAACACAGCTCCCAAACACGATCAAAGCTAGACTGGTTGTGAAAGGATTTCATCAAGGAAAGGTATTGATGTTGTGATTTGAGATCTTATTCACCGGTTTTGAAAATGACATCCATTCGGCGACAGCTGCTAGGAATGCCACCAGTTTTGATCTGGAAATCGAGCAAATGGATGTAAAGACTCCTTCCTTACATGGAGATTTGGAAGAAGGAAAATATACATGAGGCAGCCAGAGGGGTTTCATTAAAAAAAGGGGCAAAAGGAAGATAATAAGATATATAGAAATAAACTGAAGAAGAGCTTGTACGCTTAAGCAAGACCAACAGTGGTACAAAGAAGTTTTTGAGTCTGTGGATGGGGGGCCAAAGGTTACAAAAAGACTACTCAGATCACTGTGTCTGTGTAAAGAAAGTTCTCTTGATTGGATGACTACATTATTCTCCTTGCTCTATGTAGGGATACTGTTGATTGTTGGTCAGAAATTCTTTTCCAGAATTTAATAGCTTGAAGAAACAGCTAAGTAAGTTCTTTTACTATGAAAGACTTAGGACCAGCAAAGCAGTTTCTTGGCAGAAGCTTACAAGAAATAGAAGAATCAAGACAGAAAATTATGGTTATCACAGGAGAAAGTACATGAGAAGGTACTTCAAAGGTTCAAATGGAGGAATGCTAAAGCGGTTAGTTGTCCTCTTTGCGAATCACTTTAAATTAAGCTCAAAACAATGCCCTTCTACCGATGAGAGAAGGGAAGAGATGGAAAAGATCTCATATGCTTCAGCAGTTGGAAGGCTTGATGTTATGCCATGGTCTGTACACGGCCAGATATTGCTTACTCAGTCGGAGTAGTGAGTTCGGTTTCTTTCAAATCCGGGAAAGGAAACATTGGGGCGCAGTGAAATGGATTTTTCAGGTATCTTCGAGGTACCGGGACTAAAGCTATGGTTTTATGTTTTGGAGATGAAAAGCCAG